TGTTATTTTTCAACTGCCACAAACACATTTTTTTGTTGGTGATTGACAAACATTTATACTTTAAGGAACCCATATTCCAACTAGCTAAGTTTTATTTGATTTCAACAAYTGTTTACCTATTGCAGAGGTTTATTTTGGTAAAATGGTACAATTTAAGTCTAGATTGAATAGATAAAGTATGAATAGTACAATAATATATTTTAATCGCCGTCGTTATTAGTTTCATWAAGAGTACATAAAATAGATTATACATTACACMTACATTATAACATTACATTTAAGGAAATTTAAATTATAGAGGTTCTGAAAATTTTTTTTCTGAATTGTAGAGTGAGTCCCACCGACAGAAATTTCAAATTAGGCTTTCTCAGGGGACTAGGAGTTTGATTTGAAATTTTTCGAATTATCAAGTGACTACTGTAGAAGAGGAAAAGACAAAATAATAGTTTATTTTTTTTATGATAAGTMGGTAGACATTAATACCAAATTGGTTTGAGTGCTGCTGGTAACTGACCCTTCATTTTGCATTAGGTAATATTTTATTACAAATAACAATAAGTAAATAAGGAAATAAAWTAATTTACAAAAAAAATYGTCAGAGCTTAATTTATATAAGTAGAGAAAATATGAATCAAATAAATAAAATTAACAACGGTTGTATGCTATTGGTCGGTACTTTTTTTCCATTTCTCTATTCTTAACAATAGTATATGCGGCACTTCCTCCCAATACAACAAAATTCGAAAACCACCACATAGAAGATTTCCACTGATTATACCAGAATGAAGCTAATACTGTTTGGAAACAAGATTTTGCTGTACCAGATATATTATGAGTTAATGGAGATGTTACCTGAAATTAAAATAGAATTTAACATCTTTATTAGATACTTCATTATTACTATATATTAATACTAAAACTAATGTTTATATTTATTAAGTAGGTAATATCATTGAGTATAAATAGTTTCTATATTATCTATACTGAATGGTAATATGCTTAAAACTAATAAGAGAGGTCAATACTGCTGTCGTAATCAATAACACCATAAGTCACCATAGAATGATTTTGAAAAAAATGTGTTTTTGTATAGATTAGACAGTACGATTTAGGTATTTTATTTATTTTATAATTGTTTATATTATATTTTTGGAATAATATTTCAGACATAAAGTATGTCCATCTTCACAAGCCGAATATTATAATTATTTATTTGTTTCTATCTCATTTTTATATTACAGCGTTTTTGCTTACAACATAGAATATWCATAAACACATAATACTATAGAGACTATTACAGTAGTATTATTGTAACTTCTTAAATCGCTTTGTCTTAACTAGGTTTTAATAAGGCATTAGGTACATAAGTAGTAATAATAATAGTATAATAGTACATAAGRTATCAAACAATATATTGAAAAATGTAGAAGATTCACTGCTACTGTAATTAATGAGGATAAAATATTTTTTCAAAATACAATTTATTATACTAACGACAGATTAAATATCACTATATCACTACATAATTTATCGGTCATTAGCTTAATTTGAATTTGACTCGCAAGTGGTGCATTGTAGAAAGACTAAATAAGTTTATATTTATTTTGCTCCAGAAATTATGTATCATTGGTGAG